AATCATGAAGGCCTGGATTCATGAGATTTTTTTCAAATTTTTGTTTTAATTTTGATTTATTATTCTTAAAAAAAGAAAGAGGAAATTTCCCATCATTTTCTCCCTCCTCCTTTTCCCCACTCCCTGGTTTTTGTTAAGTGTGTTGTATTTCCAAGTTTCTCATTTTATTTATTTATTTATTTTTGTTTACTTTTTTCTTTTTGAGAGAGAATCCTGCTCTGTCGCCCAGGCTGGAGTACAATGGTGTGATCTCAGCTTACTACAACCTCCGCCTCCCAGGTTCATGTGATTCTCCTGCCTCAGCCTCCTGAGTAGCTGGGACTACAGGTGCGTGTCATCATGCCCGGCTAATTTTTGTGTTTTTAGGAGAGACCAGGTTTCACCATGTTGGCCAGGCTGGTCTTAAACTCCTGACCTCAGGTGATCTGCCTACCTTGGCCTCCGAAAGTGCTGGGATGCAGGTGTGAGCGACCACATCCGGCCCAAGTTCCTCATTTTAATCCATCTTTTTGGTTGGCTGGGCTTTTTCCCAGAAGGTCATCTGGGTACTAGAGTCACTGGACTCTTTCTTGTATCAGTGTCTGTCTGCCTGCTGGTCTTTTCTTCCAATGACAACTTGCATCCGTTTAACATTTTTGGACTTTGCTTTCTTTCCTTCAGCACACTTGAGACATCACTCCATTGTCTTCTCTTAATAAGTATGGGACACCTGACTTTTTTTTCCTTGCAGGCTTTTTCTGCCTGCATGTCTGAAGAAATCTTTGTTTCTCCTCCAAGTTCAATATCTTAACCAGGATACAGCTTAATGTCAGTCATTATATATCATTTTCCCCCTTGATGCCCTTTGATCTAAAAATTGACAATTTATTTCTGCTGACCTACATCTTTAAGGACACTTTTTCCCTGTTTTATGTGTAGGTACCTAATTCTGAGACATCAATTATAATTATATTGGATCATCGTTATCCTCCATAAGTAGCATCTTCTCTAACCTACTGTGATATTTGCCTTTTTCTAGTGTGTTTGCCATGAATAATTCCAGCACTTCTTACACGGCAGTAATTTGATTGTTCAGTGGTATCTCTATTATTTCTTACTTTTTTTTTTTTTTTGAGACCAAGTCTCGCTTTGTCACCCAGACTGGTGCAGTGGTACAATCTTGGCTCACTGCAACCTCCACTCCCCAGGTTTAAGCTTTTCTCCTGCCCCAGCCTCTCAAATAGCTGGGACTACAGGCATGCACCACCAGGGCTAATTTTTTGTATTTTTAATGGAGACAGTGTTTCACCATGTTGGCCAGGCTGGTCTCAAACTCCTGATCTCAAATGATCTGCCTGCCTCAGTCTCCCAAGGTGCTGGGATTAGAGACATGAGCCACCGTGCCTGGCCTTAGAATTCCCTGCTTCTAATTTATGAATTAAATCTTCATAGTCTTATTAAGTTCTTCTATTATTCCAAATATGCGTAGGTAGTACTTGAAGAATATGTTTTTGTCCAGGACAGGCCTTCATTGATTTTTTTTCACTAATATTTCCTTTTTTTCATCTGTTGCTATTGTGTTCTATAGTGTGTTTAAATATTTATCACATCATGTCTTATCATCTTGTTCAAGTTTAATGGATACTGAGCTGTATGCATCTATCTACCCTGTTGTTGCTGTTATTTTTAAGAGACAGGGTCCCCCTATGTTGCCCAGGCTGGTCTTGAACTCCTAGCCTCAAGTCATCCTCCCACCTCAGCCTCCCAAGTAGTTGGGATTATAGACATGAGCCACCATATTCAGCTCAACACCTATTTACTCTGAAATAGCGGGGGAATTTTTCGTGACACCCTTCTTATTTTATCTGGGCTTTATCTGTAGCTGTCATCTGGGCTACAGTGTGGCGGTAGATTTTACTAACTCTCCACCCTTCTATAGTCGGGGGACAAGGAAATGGAGAAGGGGCAGGTCAGGGTTGGGAGTTTGGCCAGTAGCCTTCTCTTGGAAGCTTGGGCTCTGGTCTCTCTCTTGGGATCCCACTAAATGTCAGAAATTAAGGTTCATTCCATCCAGCCATCTCTATATCACACTTCTGTGTGTTTTGGCTTCCTGAACAATGGCAAGCCTTGGCAACCCCTTCTTTCTCCCCTAAGGTTTCCAGGTGACATTTAGGGCTTTCCAAACTTGAGGGATCATTCCCCTGAACTTTTCATGGAACTGTTTACGCTTCCCTTCTCTGCTAGAGATCCTGTTTTTCTCTAGACTGAAGAATATTAGTAAGACTCCTCTAAGTTACATTAATTCTTTCCATCACTGGAGAGAGCAGTTTGAATTAAGGAGCTGTGCTACATCAGAATTTTCTGGCTCTTTCCAAGGTCATGACTTTCTCTCTCTCTCTCTCTCTCTCTCTCTCTCTCTCTGTCTCCCTTTTCCTTTGCTTTTCTTGAGACAAGGTCTCACTCCATCATCCAGGCTACAGTACAGTGGTGTGATCATGGCTCACTGTAGCCTCAATCTCCCAGGCTCAAGTGAGCTTCACACCTTCACCTCCCAAGTGGCTGGGACTACAGGTGTGCACCACCACACCTGGCTGACTTTTTTTTGTATATTTTTCTAGAGATGAGGTCTCCCTAAGTTGCCCAGGCTTGTCTCAAACTCCTGGGTTCTAGCCTTCCTCCTGCCTTAGCCTCCTAAAGTGCTGAGATTACAGGCATGAGCCACCACACCCAGCCTGGTCATGACTTTGCTAAATACAAAGGTAATTCCTTGCTTAGTTACTACTTACATTTGTTTGTTTTTGTTGTGATTTTAGTTCTGTTTATTGACTAATTTATTTCATTAGGAATGGAGGAGGATATATATCCTTCTTCCTTCTGTAGCCAAAAACTCTTCCCTCTGTTCTTAAGCAGAACCTACTGAACATAACTTTTCTGATGATTCAGGAGCCTCCTTGAGATCATAGTAATTACTCCTTAGATAAAGCTGCAGCCCCAGGGCTTGAGGAGGCTGTGGTGGAAAGGAGGGACCTGGGGCCTCATGACAGGACCCAGTCTTTGATGCTGGTAGCTTCTTGCTCATTTTCCTCTGTTCCATAAGGTCAAGATTAGCCTGTAAAACTGCATGCTCCTCTGACCAGTGGGAAAAAAGTGTGCTTCCCATAAAACCAAATTCACTGGAAAAGTCAAGAGGAAGAAGCCTCATTCCAAGGGGTTCTCTCACTGCAATTCATCATCTTTACTCCTGCTTTCAGGGTACTCTTGACATGTCACCACTATTAAGGGGTGACTGGTGATGCTGCCATCACTAAGACAAATGACTGACATGCTTCCTTGTCAACTTGCTCATTCTCCACTCTCATGGTGATAGCAGGTAAGTCACACCATTTTGAGACTCTATCAGTTAGGGTTCCTTGTTTGTGAGAAACAGAAAGCAACTCTGGATAACTTAAGCAGAAAAACAACTCATTTGGAACTTACTAGATACTTTGCATATTTAAAAAGAGACTGAGAAGTCAGAGCTAGAAGACAGGTGACCATGGGAGGTCCCAGAACCCAATAGGAAGGACATAGAGGAAAATCTCTTCTCAGTACTGTTGTTGAAAGGAATCAGGTCCAACCATCTTCAAGACTGACATTGCTCTGCTCACAATTTAAATTCATGGAGAGAGTCTGATTGGTCTACACTTTGATGAAGAGAGAGCAGAAGACCTTGGAGAGATAGTCCTCCCAATGCCAAGTTTCTGCTAACAAAAGTAAAAGGCCTTGCAGGGCAGGCAGAACCACAGCTCTCTATAAACTTAGCACCAGAAGATGCTAAGTGGTGGCTGGCATGTCACCAGGCTTTCCCTTAGGAAAAAAAAAAAAGCATTTCACTTTTGACAAAATATGAGACACAAGAAAGAATAAAAATTGTACCTGCAATATTATATTAGGTGATGTGTCAAATTTTCTCAGAAAATTCTAAGCTATAGTAACATTTGGTAGTCTGAATAATACACCTTGATGCTTAGGTTTCAAGCACTAACATTGCCTTTATGAGGGAAAATGTCAAACTACAGGTTAGAATTAGAATAGCTGACCATTCAGAGATAGCTGGCCATTCATAAAGAATTCTGTAGAGGAAAGCACCAGTCAGACAAGTTTGACTGGCAAAATGGGTGGTCCAGGCTCCTTGCTGCTCAGAGGGTGGTTTGCAGAGCAGCAGCATCTGTAGCACCTGGGAACTTATGAATAATGTAGCCTCTCAGCTCCCACCCCAGACTCACTGAGTCAGAATCTGCATTTTGACAAGTGTGATTTGTGCCCACATGAAAGTATGAGAAGCATAGATTCTGAAAGCAAACTCCAGCATCAGCCTGCCTCGATTAGCAATTCGTTGATATAGGAAACTCTTGGGAGAAGAATGTCAGCTAATGAATACAGATCGAAGGATGGGATGAGATGCCCACCATTTTGCTGTCTGATGTTATCATGAACCTTGATGACACATACTGGTGGCGGCTAACACAGGTGGAAGACTCCAGCCAGAGCTGTGTGCTGCACTGATCAGGTTGACATTGCCTGGCCCACTGGACAATCTTCACATCATCAAAAACAGAGTCACCAGAGAGCCTGTGCAATAGGCAGGAAGAGTGGCCCCCAGAAGGAATTATTTCCAGAAAACTCAAACTGAATCAAATCCACCTCTGGCTCTGACGCACAGTTCAAAGGAAGTATAGGGGCCAGAGGAACATGTTAAATGACACCACAGAGATAAAAATAGCAAAATCCAGAATATGGAACTTTTTACAAATAAATGGCAAAGGAAAAAAGTGGGAAACTTACAGATTTGAAGAAATGAAACACATCAGCCAAATGCACCGTTGGGTGGTTGTGCCCCGAGTCAAATTTTACAACCGCAAAAGAACATGTTTAAGGCAATTGGGGAACTAGACGTGGACCATGTATTGGAAGTTATAAAGGAATAATTCTGGAAATGTGACACAAGCATTATGGGAATATTAAAAAGGGAAAGTTCTTACCTGTTACATAGGCTTACGAAAGTAGTTACAGGTGAGATGATGTGGTATCTAGGATTGAAATACTCCAGAAAACAACAGCTGTGAGGAAGAAAAACAAGAAGGGCAGAATGTTGATACTTGTTCAAAGCGGCTGACAGATACATGGGGGTTTATTATACAAATTTTTTCTACTTTTATATATGTTTATATGTTTCCATAATACAAGTTTATTTAAAAAAAAAAAAAAAACCCCTCCCCTGCTCTGTGATGGAGAAAAAGTTACTGAACCTTTCTGGGCCTCAATGTCCCCATCTATAAAATAAAAATAACAGGCCAGGCGCGGTGGCTCACGCCTATAATCCCAGCACTTTGGGAGGCCGAGGCAGGTGGATCACAAGGTCAAGATATTGAGACCATCCTGGTCAACATGGTGAAACCTTGTCTCTACTAAAAATACAAAAAATTAGCTGGGCACGGTGGCGCATGCCTGTAATCCCAGCTACTCGGGAGGTTGAGGCAGGAGAATTGCCTGAACCCAGGAGGTGGAGGTTGCGGTGAGCCGAGATCGCGCCATTGCACTCCAGCCTGGGTAACAAGAGCGAAACTCCATCTCAAAAATAAATAAATAAATAAAATAAAAATAACAATAATACCTGCTTCGTAGGCTTGTTTTAGGGATCACATGAGGCAATACATGTAATCCACATTCAATATCCAGCACACAGTAATTACTCAATAAACAGCCACCTCTGAGTCCATATTTATGTACTAGCTCAGCTTCTGCACAGTAAAACATCAAAACAAGGCATCTCTGAAAGGCCCGAGTCAATAAAATCTTTCAAAGTGAAGGCCTTACCTTATGGGAACACTAGCAAATACAAAAGCTGCTCCCTCTCAATAAAGGCTGATGCACCCTGTCTAAATATGCAGATTCTGCGGAGTTATAAAACCCTTCCCGCCTTCGTCTATGCTCAGAAATCCCCAGGATGCTCCTAGAAGGCCATCAGTTGTGTTTTTCTCTATCAGCCTTTCACAGTGGTACGTCTCACCTTTTAACGGAAGGTTTTCCTTTCTGGAAAATGGTCACCACTGCACAACCCCAGCCATGGGGTCGTCACTCCGGCACTTTGCAGTCACCTGGAGGGCTTCGTGAGACGGATTGCCAAGGATGCATTCCACCTCTGGGTAGCTGCACCATGGCTTTAAAGGACTGCAGCTGTCAAGGAGCCTCAGTTTTTGCATCTGTAAAATGGTTACAATGACATCTCCTGTGTGTGCTCTTTGTGAAGATTGAGTAACACACTTAAATGTAAAGCACTCATTTCAAGAAATGTTCTTTTTTTTTTTTTTTTTTTTTAAACTGGGGTCTCACTTTGTCACCCAGACTGAAGTGCAGTGGAATGGTGCAATCATAGGTCACTGCCGCCCTGAACTCCTGGGCTCAAGCGTTCTTTCCACTTCAGCCTCCTGAGTAGTTGGAACTACAAGCATGCGCCACCATGCCCATTTAATTTTTGTAACTTTTGTAGAGATGGGGGTTTCTCTGTGTTGGCCACGCTGGTCTCTAACTCCTGGCTTCAACCTGTCTTCCCTCCTTAGCCTCCCAAAGCACTGGGATTACAGGCATGAGCCACCACACCAGGCTCAAGGGAGATTCTTGGTGTTAGCTAGTTTCTTCTCAGAGGCGGTGTCTTCCCCTCTTCAGACCTTCCTCATCCTGCTCTGGTGAGAAGCTCTTCACTTCATTACCCCCGGCCTCGCCCGGGGCCCTCCTTTTCTATTTCCCATCAACCGAAGAGGCACCTGTGGGACCAGCAGCTCTTGGGGCCATCTCCCCAAGCCCTCACATATTCCCCAGGTAGCTCTTTCACGGCTGTCCTGTGGCCCTGGCACCTCTACCCTGAGTTTGAAACATAGCAGCTTTTATAGATGCTGCAAACTGATTCTTCCAACTGCTCAGCACTTAACCCCCACTCATGATTTAAAAATTCCAATGGAGGCGCCATCACACCTCAACCCTGGAAAGACGTGTTTGAAACTCATGCAATCCAGACAGGGACATCGGTTTCATTCCTTGATTATGGAATGGAGGGAATGCTCTGTTACCCTTGAAAGAAGGAAAAGAACAAAATACATGATTCCTGGCTCTCCACCTCATGTCCTATGGGAAATGCTAGCCTCATAAATTACAAGGTCCCGTGGCTGTGGACAGTAATGCGTGTGGGGTGACAGAGAGTGGGCCTCAGGCACTGCATGGCCAATGGGAAGCAGATTGTTCATTCCCACAGTCTCTCAGGATTAGCATATGCATGCTCTTCTGCTTTTAGAATATTCCAGAAGCCTTCATGCCCTCCATAATCTCTACAATGTGACTAACCTTCAGTAGACACTGCGGCTCCAGCTGGCGGGAAAGATGATTCAGGATTTGGGCCGGGTGACCCGGGAATTAGTCCCCTTTCCTGTTCACCGCAGTACAGTGACATCTAGGTGGCAGTAACATAACACCCAAAGTCACCCTAACTGGTTACATATGACTGAGAGCAGGGACTAAAGCAGAGTAAAGGGAGCCCCAACCCTCCACTCTCCTAGTGAGCCCCCAGAAACTCCTCAGTCCAGAGCCCCACACAGATGCGCTGGGTCCCACAGGGCAGGAGTAGCTCCCACAAGCTCAGACCACTACGCCTGATAGACTGAGAGCCAGCTTCCATCCCAGGTCTCCCGCCATTAGCACAGCAAGGCCATGGCTCCTCCCCCTGTTGGGCCGCTGGTCACAGCTGCTGAGGGGCCTTCTCCTAATGCCCTCAAGGAACAGTTTTTCTACCACAGGGCAGTAGAGAAGCCCTGTAGGAGTTTTCTAGAAGCTCCCCATGAAGGCCAATCTGGCAGACACACAGCCTAGGCAGGGAGGTAACATGTGTAGGGCCATGCAACCACCAGGGTGGTCTGAGGACCAGCAGCCTCAACCTCGCCTGGGAACGTGTTAGAATCACAGAATCTCAGACCTCACTCCGGACCTGCCAGATCTGCCTCTACCTTGTGACAAGATTGGCAGGTGATTTGTAAGCATGTTCAAGTTCAAGAAACACTCATTTATGAAGCTTTGTTGCAGCCAAACTATGCAAGGTAGCAATCAACTCCTGCTGTGATATCATTAAGGAGAACTTGGCTCCATCCTCAAAGCCACTTGGGAACAGGATATGGGGAGGGGAACCCGGAGAAAGGGCTGTGTCTGGTTTGAATCGAGTCAAATCTGGGCTACAACCTGGCGTGCAGAACTCCAGCTCCTCTTTGTGTCTGTGGCTGACGGGGAGATGGGAACGCTGTGGTCCATGGCCAGGCAGCCCCTGTGTGGTACCACTTCAGTCCAAACAAGACAGGTCCATAGTTTCCATCTCAACCCTCCCAGGGAAGCTGGAAATTCACCTGGCAAACAAGAACAAACCAGTCACATTTTTGTACTGCTTTTCCCAATGCATTAAATTATAACATTAATAATTATTGTTATTAGTATCATCATAGTAACAGCTACAGTTATCAAAAACTTACCGTGAGCCAGAAACCTGATGCAATTAACTCCTGTCACTGCCTCAGGAGTCCCTGCTCACTAACCCAAATAGGCAGCTTCTGCGGAAGTCCACTGATCTATCCCCCAAGGAAGGTTCTCTTGGGCATCAAGAAGTTTCATGAAGCAGGTGGAGGGGAAATCAACCTGGAAAACCCAAAGCTGGATACTAACCATGGAGGACCCAGTGCTGTGGGAAGAACAGGGTGGAACCTTGGGGTTGAGAAGCGGAGGAGCCACGGACTAGCTTCCTTTCCCCAGAGAAGGGAGCAAAGCCCTGCAAGGCTGGTTCTCAGCCAGGTTGCTAGTGACCTGGGACAGGGCTGGGCAGACAGCTGTCTCGTCTCCCATTCCTACAGCTGTCCCCCACCACCCCGCAGACTGAATCTCATTTGAGTTCACTGGGCTTGCTGGTCTTCACCCATTTCTGACCTTTAGCTTGCCTCTTCAGAGACATCTCCATGTCATCAAAGGACGTGACGTGAAATGCCTCATTCCTGAGGCAGAAGTGGGCCTCCTTAGACACACCTCAGAGTATCTGCACAGAAGGCAATGTCCCAAGAAAGTCACACCTTTTCACACAACCTTTTGGATGCCCTAAACAAAATGTGGTCTCTCCAAACAAAGGAATAGCGTTCAGGCATAAAAAGAAACACAGTGCTGACACACAGTACACGTGGAAAATACGACGCTAAGTGAAAGAAGGCAGGCCGGGCGCAGTGGCTCACTCCTGTAATCCCAGCACTTTGGGAGGCTGAGGTGAGTGAATCATTTGAGGCCAGGAGTTCGAGACCAGCCTGGCCAACATGGCAAAACCCCATCTCTACTAAAAATACAAAAATTAGCCAGGCTTGGTGGCAGGCACCTGTAGTCCCAGCTGCTCAGGAGGCCAAGGCAGGAGAATCGCTTGAACCTGGGAGGCAGCGGTGGCAGTAAGCTGAGATTGCGCCACTGGGTGACAAAACAAGACTGGGTGACAAAGCAAAACTCTGCCTCAAAAACAAAAATAGAAAAAAGAAAGAAAGAAGCCAGACACAAAAGGCCATAGATGTCTGATCCCATTGATGTGAAATGTTCAGAATAGGCAAGTCCATGGCGACTGAAAGGAAATGAGTGGTTTCCAGGTCTGGGGCAGAGGGGAGGAGAGAGGACTGACTACCACCAGGTAAGGAGCCTTCTTTGGGGACTTTGAGGATGAGAAAAATATTTTGAATTTTCAAATAAGTGTGAAAACAGGACAACGTAGTGAATGCACAAGAAGTCATAGAAATATGCAACTTTAGGTCTTAATTTTATGTTATGTGAATTTTACCTCATTTTTTTTTTAAAGCAAGCAGGGGAAAGACCCCAAGAGCCACACATTTAAATAGAAGAGGATGTTTGTCTCTTTGGGTAGAAAGATCTTCCTTGCCCTGATGTGTAAGATTCTCAAGGATCTCTCTGATAAGTCAAGATCACAGTGCACAGATGCTCCCACCAGGCAGGGGTGGCAGTGGAAAAAGTGTGGATTTGGCCTCTGGGCTCACTCACTGTGTGACCTTGGGGAAGACCGTTAGCATGGCCCAAGCCTGAACTTCCTCATTATAGAATGGGGGCAACGGAGATAGTCCTGTCTTCTCAGGTGATTCTGAGGAACAAATGCAATGGCCTATGACAGCCACCCAAATACTACTTGGAATTATGAAAGTGGATTTGCCGTAAGGCAAGAGGGAAGTGACTCTCGCTATGATTGCAGCAGAAACCTACACAAGGTGGATCCCAGGCACTGTAGAGGATCCCCAGAAGCCACTTGGACCAGTTTCCATCCTTCCAGTCTTCTGGGAGGAGAAGCCAGGCTATGCCAGCCTATGGGACTCTGACATATTCACTCATTCAAAAAGGAATTCATGGTGCCAATTCTGTGACAAGCTCTATAGCAGGTGCTGCAGAAAAAACCAAAATGGACAAAAATCTCTGCCCTCGCGACCCCAGGGACAAGCGGTTGATGTGCAGGGGCACATATGTGACCTTGGCTTTCATTTCCTTCTGTCACTCACATCTTCATTGGCAAACATTCAGGAGTAGCCACTCAGCTGGTGAAATAAGCCAGGGCCCACTGTGGGCAGCACAGGCTCATCTGAGCCTCCACGTCCCTCCACATCATAAATCCACCTGACCTCCTTGCCAAAATGTCACTCTTTTGTGACCAGCATTGCCCCCTCAGACTGTGTCATTTAAAATACTAGATGCTTTAGCCTCGGTGTGAACCAAGTCATCAGAGCCCTGATCTCCCCCCAGAAAGAGAAGGGAGGTGGTGGGTAAGGAATGGATGCACCCCAGGTGGCCAGAAGACAGAAGCACAGAGTGGGAGGTCTAGAAACAGAATATACTGTCCCCTGCAGGGCCCCTGGGCTCAAGGAAGCAGACTGCATGCTGGGTCTCCAGGAAAGCAAGGGCTCTCTGTCTGATGGGGAAGTGGGCAGAGAAGAAGTCATGGGGCATCTACCCCCAGGCCTCACCCATGGGGTCAGGGAAAGAAAGAACCTTGAAGATGCCAAGGTGACTTAAGTGGGAAAGACATGAAGCCACTGACTCCAACAGCAGCACTGGCCACAATGACATCAATCAACCAGATTCTCCGTCAGGCAGCCAGTTATCCACCAGGCAGGGTCTTGGGACACAGGACAGGTGAGTTCTTATGCGGGGAGGCAAGGGGAAGAAGGCAGATGAGGCAAGGACAATCTGAAGTCAGGAGCACAGGTATGAGGGTGGGAGTGCCATACGACGAGCCAGTCTGAGCGCTCAGGGCTCGTGTGGGGAGGAGAGGATGGGTGGGAGCAGAGGCCCTTGGTCAGGAGGAGAGGATGGGTGGGAGCAGAGGCCCTTGGTCAGGAGGAGAGGATGGGTGGGAGCAGAGGCCCTTGGTCAGGAGGAGAGGATGGGTGGGAGCAGAGGCCCTTGGTCAGGAGGAGAGGATGGGTGGGAGCAGAGGCCCTTGGTCGGGTCACCTCTGTGGCACAGGCCAAAGGTTGCAAGTGAGGAGAGTGGAAGGGAAGTGGGAACAATCAGAGGGAGAGGAAGCGAGAAAGAGAGAGGGAAAGGGGAGGGAAGGAGGAGGGCAGGAAGAGAGGAAAGGAGGACAGGACCGAAGTGCAGACAAGCAGCTGTGCTGCTCACAGCCCAGGAGCAGCCTGTGCCAGCCCAGGGCTGCCAGGCTGCGTCCTCACCTCCCAGCCTGCCCCACAGCCCGTCAATCCCTCTTTTGTGATGCAAGTGTCCATCCCGCCTCTGCAGCCACTGGTGCCCTGAGAGGCCTCACATCATCTAGTGCCCCATGCATGGGGGGGTGAGGCAAGGAGGCAGCCTCTCCTGCTGGCACCAGAAGCAACAAACAACCAACTTATCACTGCCCCTTTGTGTGGGAACAATGGGGCCCAGAGAGCCCCACCGCCAGAAAGAGGAAGTCTCAGGACAATGACCTTCCTGCCCCTACTTCCTGCCTGCATGGAAATGGGAGAAGGAATAAATCTTAGTGCTTTGAAGGCTCCGTGGCTCTGGTGACTCCAGCAAGCCCAAGTTTCTACCTGCATGTTGATCCATACCTGCCAAGAGCTCACCTTCCCTCCCTCGACCCAGCGTCCCAGGCCTCCTACATGGGCCTATGCAGCCGGTCTCTGGTCCCCACGCCCTCCACGGGAACCCAGCTGGCCTGGGCGTGGCTGCACATCTGGACTTTTGCCACCACCTCCCACTGCACGCCGTGCTCTGTCGCACGTGCTCTCTCCCTTCTTTCTCTGCCTCTGTCCGGCGGGGGCTTTCTGACAATGCACCTCTTCACAATCTGCTGGAGCTGTCAATCAGGGCACCTCACGACAGATATTTATCTTCTCACTGTTCCGAAGGCCGGAAGTCCATGATCAAGGTGTTGGCAAGTTGGTCTCCCCTGACATAGCCTGAGGGGGCAATGCTGGTAGCAAAACAGTGGCATTTTAACAAGGAGGGCGGGTGGATTTGTAGCTTTCTTGCTCAGACGAGCCTCCACGACCCTCCATATCATAAATCCCCTGTGCTGCCCACAGTGGGCCCCGGCTTCTTTCACCAGCAGAGTGGCTACTCTTGAATGTTTTCCAATGAAGACATGAGTGACAGAATGAAATGAAAGCCAAGGTCATATGTGTGCACCTGCACATCAACTGCTTGTCCCTGGAATCATGAGGGCAGAGATTTCTTTCCATTTTGTTCAGTTTCTGCAGCACCTACTACAGAGCATGTCACAGAATTAGCACCATGAATTCATTTTCAAACAAGTGAATGTGTCAGAGTCCCATAGGCTGGCATAGCCTGCCTGCTCCTCCCAGGCGGATGGAAGCGGGATGGAAGGACGGAAGCTGGACCAAATGCTTCTGGAGGTCCCTTACAGTGCTGGGGGTCCACAGTGATTGTTTTTTCTACGATCACTGAGAGAATCACTCCCAGACCCTTTCCTTATGGCAAATCCACTTTCATAATTCCAAGTTTCACAGTGAGTGAGCCCAGAAGCCAAGCCCATGGTCTTTCTGCCCCCATTCCTGCCTGGCGGCATCTGTACACTGTGATCTTGACTTACTGAGGAGAGTCTTGAGAATCTTACAAGTCAAAACAAGGAAAATCTTCCTGAGACCTCTCTGCTTGGTGTGCAGACAGCTAGCTCCTCTCTGCATCCTCACATGGTGTTTTCTGTGTGTGCAAGTATGTCCCGGTGTCTCTTTTCCTTAGGGACACCAGCCCTGTTGGGTTAGGGTCCCATCCTCATGAGTTCATTTCATCTTAATTACCCCTTTAAAGGCTCTGTCTCCAAATAGTCACTTTGCGGTTTATGGCTTCAACATATAAATTTGGGGGG